GAAAAAAAAATAAAAAAAACAAGTGCAATTCAGTAAAACCACGTCCAAAAGAAATTATAAAGTGGGCATTCGACTGATTGACACTGAACTTGTCTTTAAACTTGAGTTTTTGGTCCAGAAGGAAATATCAAGAGGCATCCCAAATGGGATGGTCCTGTGCTTAGTCTGTTCTACTGTCCATTAACTAATTATTTGAGAGAATAAAAAATACACTAGTAAGATAAATTGTGCTTTTATGTATTGGACCAGCGTGTACAATTGAGCCAACCATGACTTCTGAATGACTGCAAGCTCTTGAGAATGGTAAGATTGCCATTCAAAATTACGCTGAAAAACTGTTGAAATAATTCAAAATCAGTAAAATTAAGGAATAAAATGCAAAGTAGTTGCACACAAGAAGGAAAAATCTATTGCAGGGAGAGAAACTAAGGAATAACTGCCAAAACCAGTAAGGCAGAAGAATTATATTGAATCACAAAATAAATACGTCACTAGTGCAGCACAAAAAAAAGGCAAATTTTTGTGAACAGAATAACAAAAGGAAGATAATCTGATTTTACTAACACTGAGGAGGTAGAAAATTCTGATAATCTTAAAAAAAGATATAAAGATATCGAGAAGAACACATGCTAAGGAATACTACCTGTGAGGAAATGAAAGAATTTAGTTTGTTTGGCTTAACAAACACAAGAAGGAGATGAGTCGTGATAGCAATCTCTTCACATGTAAAATGAATCTGTAATCTAGACTTCGGTCTTCTTCACAAAGTTTGGAATAAGAAGCAATCAGCGTATTTTATATCAGCAGTATAGACAACATATTAAGAACTTTCTTTTTTGGCGGATAGCTGGCATTGGACCAGCACACTTAGCGATGTTGTGGAAAGAATGTCCTGGCAGTGTTTAAAAGCAGGTAGTTTAGACATGTTGATCCTGCCTCAGGGCATGGGGATGAACTTGATGACTTTAAATTTCACTTTGAACCTTAATTTTTGTATAATTTACATGAAGACAGATATCCTCTAGATAGGAGTAATCACTATTTAACAGTCCGACCAGTTAACCTATTAGATAAGTGTTTTGCTTTTTGTTGGAATCAATACTGGAATTAGCTTCTATTTTTGCAGTTTTATTTCCAGCACTTAGCAAATCCAGGAGCTCCTGTTTGGCGTTCACCAAGGGGCAGTACTCACAGACTTCAGTTACACACGTCTATTTTGTTTGTGTTGAAGATTTTCACAAGCTTACACTTAGGCATCCAGGACCTGCTTCTGATTTTGTTTGCAATATTTTAATATCTGGATAATGGAAATACCATAAGAATATCAGATGTTGCATTTGATGGCCCTGAGGAAAAAATGGGAACACAAACACTGACGAGTTTGGAAGTTTTGTGAATTCAAGCTACTTATTTGTGGTATTTGTGTACGGATCTAAATGTTTATGGCAATATCTGCAGTTCAGCAAAGTGCTTCCGATTAGAGTTTTAAGAATGTTTTTAGTACTTTTGTTTATTTTGATACAGTTTTCTATTTTATGTGGTGTCACTTACTGCATTGTTGAACTTCAAAAGTATATTTTATTCCAAAGAAAATGTGGTGATAGCAACTTACCGATGACACAATCTGAAACTTTACTGACAGATATTTTTATTTGTGAATTTTATCATTTAGACTTTGAACTTTAAAAAACTTTGTAGAATGACTACCCCAGAATTTAACTTTCTACTTACTAGTGTGTCAAGATTTTGCCATTAACTGAAACAGAAATAAGCATATGTCCTTGCAGTTGGAATAGAGAATGTTTAACTGTCATAGCTGCAAAACTGGACCCGATCCTATTGAATGCTTTTCTTTATAATGCTCAGAGAAGTTCAGGGCCCCATAAAATATAACTAGTTACTAAAAGATCATTCATATATATACATGACTAATGGGATGTCCATAATAATGAGTAAAGGTTAAGGAAGTTGAAAGAATTACAGTACCATGTGACAGCATAACAAAATCAAACTTTGCATTTCAATGACAAGTATTATTTATCAAGTGGCAAACTAAGATGATTAATTCAGCCTGGGAACAGGGACAACATTTAGCTGTCTTCTTCCTTTAGGTCATTTTTGGTTAACCAAGAAAGACTTTTCTTTTTGGTATTGTCTTTTCCAGAACATTGTGGGATCTTTCCCACCACACTGTTTCCTCTGAATTGCATAATTGACCAGAAAGGAGGTCCTGGCTAGCAAGTGGAAAAAGCCTGAACTACATACACTCATCCACTTCTCTAACTAATTTCTGCCTTTTCTGTCTTCTTTTCTTTTTTTTTTGTGCTTTTTCTCTTCAACATGGAATAGAATGAGTTACTGGAATTTCCTCTGAAACAAGACTTAAACTAGAGGCAATTGAAGTGCTGAATAATACCTCAGTTCTTAGCAGATGCTTGAATTCATCATAAGACTGTGGTTGCCATATGTGCTTGATTTTATGCCATGAATTTAAATCAATGAATTATTCAGGGTATTAAAGTTAATATATATATAGTGTTATTCACTAATACTAATAATATACTAATAGTATATTATTCACAATATGAGTGAAATCAAAAGGTACAGGGATTAGATATGTTCTGTTTTTAAAAAACGGAGTTGTAGTTATGACACAATAACAAAGTCATTGCTCAGTTAATGATTTAACTGATGTTTCTGTATTCTGTATCCATCTTAGCTTCAGACAGCTATTTACAGGTATAACTGTTACTGTGAAATACCTGACTGGAGCCAAAGAATAAATTAGGCAGAGGTAAACTGCCAACAGCTGCTTTGTTTAAATCCAACTGGTCCTTACGGACATGGAAGTGAATAAAGCATTGCAAAAATAAGAGATGCAGGAGTCTCCCTTCTGAAGAAAACTTCCACTCTCCTCTTTTGCAGTGCTTAATTGCAGTAGTAGTCACGATAAAACTGTTAACTTTTTTAAACACAAACAATCGTAAAATGTTGTATACAGATTTACCTCGTAATAGATTTCCATGTATGTATAGAACATGTTTGATTTGTGCCGAAGTCAGACGATATGTATGTAAGAAAGAAATGAATGCAAGTAAAGGCTGGCATTAGAAAAAAACTTGTTCCATTTGTCAAGCAACGAGTTGCTAAAGAAAGCCTATATTTTAATATATTTGCTAAAACAAAATCTTAAAGACATCTGTCACATTTTCTGTCACAGGTCTTTGAAGTTGTATTTTGCCGCTAATGCATTGAATATTTTCTTTGCCAGTTCTCTCACTTTCAGGAAAATTTGCAGACATTTTTCTCACAAATTTAGCATGATCTAACTAAATAAATGTTTTTCTTGGCAAAAGTAAGAAGGTTTACTATGTCTTTGTAAAAGTTAAATCCTGAAGAAGATAGACCTATAGTCCTGCTTTTACTGAAATTCTGAAGTTGAGCAAACCTAAACCTCCCACTTGTGTTGCAAATGAAACTAAGTCCTACTATTGTTAAAAAATTTCATTAAATACTTCTTACATTC